GTCCTACTCCCAGCCGTTCGAATGAGCCTTTATTTGAAACTGGAGAACCGAATCCATGGCAAGATGGAAAAGGCAGACACCATAACGGTATTACAAATCCACAAGCAATTCCGACGAACTCTTCTGGATCTTCAGATGGAAATATGCCTGAAAATATAGTAGGGTTTCCCTTGACCCCCAAAATTTTTTAGTTATTCAGGGTCTCTGTGAGTACAACGCGCATGCTTCGGACGAAAGGACTGACGCGGACACCTATAAGTTTCGGGCACTGCTTAATGACATGCTCCGACCTAAAGGGACTGTGGCAGTTCGTACAGCGTTCGGGATATGTAAAAAGGTTAGAGAACTGTCGGAAACTTTGCGACCTCGACCTATCAATATAGTCTTGGACAGCGAAAAAGAAGTGTTATTGGTTCTTTCCCAAAAAATGGCCCTCCGCCACTTACATAAGGTGGTTTTTAACTGGACTTCTCTCCAGTGCAGCATATGAAACGCCTCCAAGTGGTGGCAGGAACTAAGCGGCGATAAACAGGTGGTAAGAGCAATCAGGCTATCTTCAAGGAACGAGTTATACAAAAAAACAGGATAATGCTCTGGAAGAAGCCAATACTTATAATGGCTGCGGCACAGTAGTATTGGCAAGCTCGCGCTCGAATGAACTAGACAATACGGAATGTTGCCGACTAAAATATCTGTATACCAACGCTCAGAGTTTATTCTGGAAGTTTGAGGAACTTCGAATATAGGTAGCTGATCTGCCTTCTGCTCTTATAGCAATAACAAAACATGGCTGCCATAGAGCTTCAGTGATACCCAAGTAGCGTTATCAGGATACCAATTATTTATGCGATACGGAATGGAACGCTGGGGTGGAGGAACTGCTATGTATGTAAAGAGCAAAAGGACTGAAAAGATTACCGTCGGTTTGGAGGCTACTTGGCTGACAATTTAGGCACAGGGTTCGCAGATACCGGAAGCAATGACCGTCTTCTGACCACCGCAAATAGAGACTGATGCAGAATGTATGAACTTGAACGCGGTTTGTTCAAATTCGAAGATAAGTGAAAGATTTATATAAATT